TAAAATCTGCCACAAATGTGAGACCTGGTCTTTCTTCTTTCAGCTCTTCTAGAAGAAACCTACAACACACAATAATAACCAATATAAACCGGTTCATAATGATTTACACCATTTGTCAAATTGTATAACAAAATCTATAAAAAAAAAAAAGCAATTACTTTGGTTCGTAACATCTCCTGCCACCATTAACTAATCCGCGTTTATTTGAAACGTCCTATTGAACCAGAAGAAGATCATGAGTAAACAAAAATCAGATTTCTACCCAAAAAAACTAGTAATTTCCTCTCAAGAACTTACAATGTGTCGAATACATCTCAAATGTCCTCTGAGTATATAGTCCAAAAACCGGCAAACCTTTGTCTGGATATCAGTGATTCAACGGGTCAGTATTGTGTTTGTGATATTAAGAATGGGATGCAAAACAAACAAAGAAAACAAAAACTTTATTATACATGATAAACTCCGTGTACCTCCTTAAGCGAAGAGCAATCCCGCAATATCAGAGTCTCGAGCAGAGTGTCTTCGCAGTCATATCTCACATCCCTACCATTAGAAAACAAAAAAAAAAAAACCTCCAACAATAAGAAAATTTTAAATTCAGGGAGAATATCATCGTCATTAGTGTTTTTCTCAGATGACATGAACCTCAAAAAAAGCTTCCATCGATTCCATATGTTCTAGATAGATCCATGTACTTAAGTTTACGAAGACCCTGCAAAAAAAGCAAGACATATAGTTTGGCCACATATGAAGATAGCAGAAATACTAGAATACCAAAAGCGCCATATATACCATGATAAGAAAGTAGGCGTCTCTGTCATCTATGTCGAAACCTATGAGCGATAGCGAAGTTATATTGGGCCACCTCCTCCTGAACGAACACGATGATGAAGCATATGAAAAGCCTGATCTACCTCTCACACATTAAGGTAAGCTTAAGCAAACATGGGAGGAAAACCTAACAAAGCTTCCTTGAGGAAAACCTTTACCAGATCCAATCTCTTTCTCTAAGAACAGATGCTGACATTCTCTTGAGAGGTAATCTAATACATCATCGAGTGGATCAACATCACTGTCACGAAAAAACACAAAATTTTGCAAAAATTGAGAAAATGTGACAAAGCTTTCTTGTTAGACCGGCGTAGGACCATCAAAACTAGCCTAGGAGGTACTTGGTAAGCAACAGGGTAGGCGCTTAAGGCCGACTTACAATCCAACGATCTTCAAATCTGCTAGATTTGAGCAGGCTGACACAGCACCACATAAGGACTCATCGTCCAACCATCGATTATTGTAAATGTGTAGGCTTCTCAAGAGATCCCTTTTTGAAATGGAAAAACATAATAGCAAATTAAAAGATATACAATACAATGCCATAGAAACCAGTTACCAATTTCTATGTATGGTAAGTCAAATAGAATAGGCAATCAAGCCAATACCCTTTAAAATAATGGTTATAGGATAGTGAGTCAAAACAAGATCCTGTAAGCAAAGATGCCTTATATTTATACGGACGTGTAATGCGACCAACTTTAAGGGATCTGCATGCATCATCAAAAACAGTGAGAAACTGCGAATAGGTAATACACTAGCATCTAGAAGAAAGGATGGATAAATAAGCAGATTCGGGTTTCGTGAAGACACAACATCTCACCTGAGTTCTTCTCAGGCACGAGAAAACATCCTACGCACAACTACACTATCAACATTTCCGGTTGTCAAGTCGATGTGGGAGTAACATAAAGGTTCCATGGCACATTCCTTGAATCAGAGATTTTGTATCAAGCATCGAAAAGACCTGAACAATCCCATCAATAAACACAGTAACATGAGACAAAAGGAACACATATCATCATCACACTATTCAATATACGCTAAGGAAAAGGCCTCAAATTTGGTTACAACACATCCTCAAAGGCCAAACAATGCATAATCTCTAAGATTCCTCAAAATTGCTTACAATTTATATGGAAACAGAACACACATCCTATAAACACCCCTTTTAAGAAGAAGAAGCAGCAGCAAAAGGAACAAAGCCCTAAAACATGGTATCTAGATTCCACAAAGGAATAGTAAGTAAGTTGGCGATTTGATACCTTAACAGTGACCAGGAATTGGAATTGAAGGGATTGGCGTATTTTCGAAACAACTTATTGGTGGAATCCTGAAGAAGCGAGGCTAATTCTAGTGTACGAACAGTGAGGCGATCCTGAACGGAATCATCACCGGAGGCTTCGAACATTTTCCCAAGCACTCTATCGAAAGAGCATTTGATGCAGAACGAAGGGGATAAGTAAGGCAAATCCGGTAACGAGAGGAACGAGGAGGTAACCAGATCGACATGGTTTTCGAAGAAATCAGTAACATTGACTGAATTAGGGTTTTGGTTTTGGCTAGTGGAGGAAGAAACACAACAAGGGACTTGGCGAAGACGCTTGCTTGGGT